TTTGTAAACATTATTAGAATCTAATATAGATTAAGGGGGTCGACTGGATGGGTTAACCATCAGATTTTCGACAGACCCTTCTTCTTCTCTTCTTCTTCTTCTTCTTCTTCTTCTTCTTCTTCTCCTCTTCCTGTTCGGACTACTGTAGCAGCAGTCGAAACAGTTCTCTATCTATTTCCCCTCCCTCTGTGAATCTTTCTCTCAATCTCCTCTCCTTTCTCAATATGCCTTCTCTTTATTATTTCTTTTTTTTAAATATCTTTGATATTTTATATGACGATTATTATAACTTAATAAATAATAATGGTGATATTCAACATTTATTTAATTTATTTAAACCATGACTTGTGAACAGTTTGAATGGTTTATTGTTTAAACACCCAAGTCAATGGTTTTTTACTAAAGTCAACAGTTTTTATATTTAGTTGGGCTTGGGGAATGGGCCTACCTTTAACTCCATTACAGGTCAGCAATTCAATCAGTTGAGTCAATAATGGGTTGCAAACTGTTTGTAGTGTAAATTTCATATCTGATATCTTCTCAAGCCTTGTCCTTGCCATATTTAAGTAATATTGCTTCACCAAGGCTTAGCACTTGGCCCCTATTTATTTACACACTAGCCATGGATGAATTGACTAAACATATGTAGGAGGAGGTCCTAATAATAATGGGAGAGGAAATCAGGGTACACCTAGGATTAGAGACCAATGAGATATTACAATGTGACTTCTTCCATTACCTTGGTTCAATAATCCATAGCAAAGGAGAAACTAAGGAGGAAGTCACCTATAGAATCAGAGCATCATGGGCAAAATGGATAGTTGCATCTAGAGTCTTATGTGATTAGAGAATACCACTTAGGCTCAGTTTGGGAAGAGTGCAAATACAAGGTTTAGAAATACCATATACATGGTTTTGCAGTGAACATATTTGTATTTGCACTCTTCCCAAACTGAGCCATAGGCTAAAAGGAAATTTTTATAAAACAGGTAAAAGACCAGCTTTATTGCTTGAAGTAGGGTGTTGGGTGGTCAACAAAATGCCCAAAATATGAGTGTAACAAACATGCAAATGTTGAGACAAATGAGTAAGAAAACTAGAGAGGATAGTAGCAAATATGAAGTTATTCAAAGGAACCTAGGAGTAGCTGCAATAGTTGATAAATAAAGGGAAAGTAGACTAAGATGATTTTGGCAGGTGCAAAATTGACGATCTGCAGCACCAATAAGAAGTTATCTGCTACAAGTTGAAGGGGCTAGAGAAGCTAAGGACAGACCAAAAAGGATCATGATCAACTTCTTTGCAATGACTTAAATACTCCTTTATGGTGTCACCAACATCTAATATATTCCACATATCAAGATCATCATCAAACAATTTCCTCCATTTGTCACATATTAATTTTGTTGACTTTTTATTCTGCAAGCTCCATAGAACAATGGGAATGATTTCTTTTTGTATTTGTGATGGTAATCCTATTATATTATATTCTATTGCTTTTTGAAATTTTATAACTTTGTGCAACTGTGGAATAATTAGGTGTTGGGAGCAGCAATTAATGTGTATGCCAACAAACACAAAGAACGCCCTGACCGTCTCATAGACATGCTAATCAGCAGTCACAGGTAATAATGCCATTTATTACTGTTACTTGTTGGAAAATTTTACATGTATAGCCAAATCTAAGTAAGATGAAAGCATGTAGCATGAAAGTTTAGGCAAAATTTGTTCATCTTATATCTTAGTTACTGGTGGCTAATCTACTGTTACTTGTTGGAGCCTGTTAGCATGAAAGCTTTCCTCTTTAATTTATGTGCTTGGAATTCAGTATGTATCTTTTTAAGATGATGTGGCTAATCTACCCCATTCCCTTTATACCTCTATCCTCCTCCCTTATGTCATCTCCTTCCACACTCCCCCTCTAACACGAACCTAATTCTCTCTCCCCTTTATCCATATATGTTGTAATGAGTTGTTAATATGTTTCCTAAAACCATTGTACTAAAAAAATCAATTATTAAAAATAATCATATTATTTCCCTTTAACATGTTATATCCCAAGAATTTCCTTCCACCTCAAAGTTCCTTAATCTCTGTGGTTATCCCAATCTCATTCCCTAAAAGCTGAAGCAAACATAGTTCAGCCCAGTCAGAGTCCCTATGGCCATCTGATCTGAGTATGGTTGTATAACATGACTGGTGGTTCTGGTGTGTATTATCCTACTATATCAAGTTGAGCAGCCATAAATCGGATATTTATCAGCAATAACATATGGAGGCATTTTAAGTTTTGCAAAACATGACCTAATTTTAACTTTTTCTACATTTTAGCTATGGTAAACCATTCTGTGTCCATCTATAGTGCCTCATAAGTTTTGCAGTGGTATTATTTATGTATCTTGGACAAAAATAATATTCTACTTTGATTGCTCCTTTGAACATAAGAGATGTTAGAAAGAACAATAGAGATGCGAATTATCTTTTTCTGCTTCTGCTAAAAATGAAAACCTATTCAAAGGAAAAAGATACCAAAATATAATTGGTTCTCTCAGAATTATCAATTATACATGTATTTTTTTTCAAAGTCATAGCTGTAAATTTAATGCTTCTATCCTAATATGCCACAACCAATCTAATTTTTGGGTTTTGCTGCCAATTGGAAGGCTGCTGGCATAGAACTCTAAATTGATAGTCTGTAGGTCATACACTTGGAGAGCGTAGTGTAGCCTTTTTTGTGTCACTATGGTTCCCAAAGCCATCTTTTTTTTTTCAAATAACTAGACTGGCATCACCATATGAGACAGAGTGCTGAGCAATCAAGAAATATGATATGCAAAAAAATGAGCCTAACTGAGATGATGATATTGAGATGGATGAACAGCAAGACTAGAATGGATAGAATAAAAAATAAGCACATTAGAGAGGAGTTATAAGTAGCTCCAATTACTGAAAAGATGAGGGAAAATTGACCTGAAATGGTTTTGTATATGCATAAACAACTAATGACTGCACTGGTTAGACGTGAATTGGTGCAAATAGAAGTAGCTCCAATTACTGAAAAGATGAGGGAAAATTGACCTGAAATGGTTTTGTATATGCATAAACAACTAATGATTGCACTGGTTAGACGTGAATTGGTGCAAATAGAAGGCTCTGAAAGAGCAAAGGAAGATCAAAGGAAACGAGGTATGAGGTGATAAAAATTTATTTAAGGAATTATAATTTGACAGAAAGCATGGCTCTCGATAGAGCTCAATGGCAGGACAGAACTCATGTAGCCAACTCAAATAGTTGGGGTTGAATGAGTTGAGTTGAGTAGATTGTATGCCCTTTTATTTTATGCTATCTCACTTTGGTATTTTGAATCATGTTTCATTATCTAGACTTGCCTGTGCAGGAAGGTTTTGGCATGTGTTGTATGTGGCCGTCTAAAAAGTGCTTTCCAAATTGCTTCTCGAAGTGGAAGTGTGGCTGATGTTCAATACGTAGCACATCAGGTATGTTTTATTTTCTCCTCATCCTTTTTAAGGCATATGGTTACCATAGGTATTACAATATATGAATCTAACATCTTTTTATACCATCAGTTCCTACTGATCTAGGTTAATGTACTTGCACCTGCTATGTGTTATCATGTTATGCAATGAATACTATCCCCAAGAATTGAAGTTTTGTGAAAGAATATGTATCTGATGATGTTTCAGATTAGCTGTAGACTATAGATTTCAGAAATTTAGATAAGCTACCGGAAAAGGTTCCGGTTACAAAACTTCCTAATCATTTTGTCTGCAGCTCTCTTGTGGGGGAAGGGATATAAGTTAGAACCTTTTATGTTTGGTTATTATCTTTAATCCTTGAAATGAATTTTAGTTTTTTCTTTTGTGTAAGCCTTATATTGTCTTGCTGAATAACCTTTACTATATTTCTTCTGTATTATAAGAGAAGAAACATTTCTTTGACACGAGTTTTTTTCAATAAAGTTATTTTGTGAAGTCCATTTAGAAATGTCTCTTTCTGTGGTATTGCAGGCATTACACGCAAATGCACTGCCAGTGCTTGATATGTGCAAACAATGGTTGGCTCAATACATGTAAATTTATGTAAAATCTTCATTATTTTTGAAAGAGAACTGTTGAGTCGGTACCATCTATTCACCATTCAGAAAATCAAATAGTTTTATGTAAAGGGGGGATTGTAAAAAGGAAAAGAGTTGGGGGAGGGGCGAGGAGGTTACAATGTATCATAAGTTGAGCAAGACAAAATAGTCTTTTCACTTTTGATTCTGTTGTGTTGACACATGATGTGAAGAATATAGTTAATGCAAATAAGATATGTAAGAAAAATGGTGCTAGAAAATATTGATATCAAATATTCTCTGCTATTTTTGCTGAGGCGTGCATATAACATTCTTTGTGCCTAATACAAAACAAATTGACAACCAATCAACTGGTATTTTACTCAAATTCACCTAGGGGCTAGGGATTCTTATTGTGGAAACTCTTTTAGGTACTCTACCTTTTAGGTACCATAGAATTGCCCAAGAAAGAAAACAAGACAAAAAAAAAAAAAACTTCAATTCTTGATTTTCTTCGCTCTAGAGACATGGGACCTATTAAGGCTTAGTTTGGAAAGAGAACAATACAAATATGTACAGTACAAATACATAGAAAATAATAAAAAATACAAGGTTTTGCACTATATATTTGTATTTGTACTCCTTCTAAACTGAGCCTAAAGGACAAAACTTGTTGGTCTTGGTTCAAACCCTATTAATAGTATGGGGTTGTTCAAATCTGTGTTTAATTTTTAGTAAAGATATCAATTATATAGCTAGATTGAAAACTGACATTAGAGGAATTTCATCATTATCAGGCTATTCCTCTCATGCCACCATGCCATCGGATGAATGAAATATAAGTGAGAAGCACCTAGGGTCCCAACTTGGATGGGTTTGGGTTGGGATTTTGTTAAAATTTTAATGGACCTGGCCTAAAAGCCCAGGTTCAATGCAATGTAAAATCTTCAAATTGGTTACCTGACTTGCACCCCTAGCAGTACCAAAATATAGTGGGAGGTGGAGAGAAGTCATGGATAAGAGAAATTATTGCTCTATACTTTTAAGAACGGTTCTAATACAAAATTTAAGAGGAATATAAATTATAATACTGTTGAATGGTATGTATGTGGTATTTAATGTAAAATCTACTTGGGGCAAAATTGAAATACAAAATTTATGAGGGGGATCAATTATCTAACAAATAGGATGGGCAAAACCATCCTCCAGAAATCAGGAAACTTCATGTGTTTTTTGATTTGATTGAATTACCTAGACATAGAAAATACTTTCTCTATTTTTTTTAGGCATGAGAAATAGGGTAAATCAAAATACCAATAATTAAATGGGCCCACCATATTTAGGCATGAAAAAAATTGAAAATAAATATATGAAAATATCACAATTATTATTAATTTCAATATTATGTTATAATTATTTTTCTAGTTTTAATAATTATTTTAAATATATTACATAATTTCGTTATTTTAACTATTTAAAATCTAGTTATGTTAAATATTTTGTTATTTAAATTATTTAGTTATTTAAAATTTTAAATAATAAAGATGTTACATGATATTAAATATTTTGTTATATAATTATTTAGCTATTTTTAATATTTTCTTATTTAAGATATTTAGTTATTGAATTATTGAAATAACATTTTATTTTTTTAATGTTAAATTTTTATTTGAATAACATTTAAGTTGAATAATTCGAAAGATCATAATTTATATTGTTACTACATAATTTTGTCATGAATTTTGTAAAAATATAAAATTATTAATAACATGAATATTATTAAATCTATTAGAATTATTTTTTTGTGTTTTTAATAAATATTTTAAATTTATCATATAATGTTGTTAGAATATTTAAGTAATTCTTAAAATTTTTAATTCACTTTCTTTAGATAGGTGTAAATAAAAAGTGGGGGAGAGGATAAATAGGAATTAGAGATAATTTAGGAGAGAAATAGGAGTTAGAGATAATTTAGAAGATAAATAGGAATTAGAGATAATTTAGGAGAAAGTGGGATAGGGGGGAGGTAGTTTAGGAGAAATTTTAGGAGAGAATATTACTTAGGTTAATGGGAACGAGTGTATGTGTAGTGTGTGTGTGTGTGTGTGTGAGAGAGAGAGAGAGAGGGAGAGAGATTTTAGGTAATTATTTATGGGGAAGGAGAGCATGTCATTGATTGTTTCAAAATGACATGAAATTAAAAAATAAAAAATTCAATATATATATATATATTAATTCAAACTTTGTTTAGATAGTTCTTGGTTATCATATTATCTATTTCTATTAATTATCGTATTTTTATTATGAATTTATTACAAAATAAGTATACAATAGTTTAACAATAATTTGATTAATAATGTTATTTCATTTTTGGTAATATTTTGGATAATTTCTGGTAATTGTGACTTTTGTTAATTATTGGTAATTTTATGCTATTTCCATTAATTTTTGGAAATTATCATATTTTCAGAAATATTTCTAATTATTTATTTTAAAAATTAATTGTTTATTAAGGTTATAAATGGTGAAGGTGACCATAAATTATTCAAAATATTAATTAAAAATTTTTTATGAAGGTTATAATAATTAAAAAAAAAACTATAAATTATTAAGGTAACCGTGTGTAATTATTTATTTTAAATAGAAGTGTAATTATTTATACTTTTTAAATATAAAAAACCTAAAATCCAAACCATGTGTAATTATTTATTTTAAATAATGGTGTAATTGTTTATAGTTTTAAATATAAAAAACCTAAAAACCAAACTGTGTAACTATTTATTTATTTGTTTTAAAATAATTATTTTAAATTATTTATTTTAAAAAAACAATTATTGCATAGGCCCCCTTCATCTTCAATTTAGGTAGTCGTGTGTAATTATTTATTTTAAATAACAAAATTATAAATTACTTAAAATAATAATTAAAAACAAATAATAAAATTATTATTATTAGGTAAATGTGTGTAACATGGTAAATCTGGCAATCGTGTATAACACGGTAATTAAAACAAATCGGTTAGAAATGGGTTGTTACTCGACCTATACTTGTTATTGAAAACGGGTCGCACTGACCCGTTTATCTTCGCCTTCTTTGCCCGATGAGTAAAAAATGGGCTTTTTTTTGCAACATAAGATTTTCTCATTTTTCGGGTTTTCTTTTTAAAGTTTTTTCTTATTAATCACACCTATAGTGCTCACACCACAAATTCAATTCAAAAGCATGGAAATAAAAACAAAATCAGGAGCAAAATGTACTAATCACACCTGGTCTCCTTCCACCCCTGTTTTTAGTCCAAAATAACGTCTCTTTTTAGTCCAAAATAGCATCTTCCCACACCTATTTTTAGTCAAAAAAAAACAATGAATTTTAAACGAGGTTTGGAATAGAGGAAGAAGAATGGAGACGGAGAAGGAGTTTTACCTGTTTGGGCAATGAATCAGAGTAGTTCTGCCCCTACAAAGTAGTTTTTGTCCAAAATAGCGTCTTTCCACCCCTTGCTTTTAGTGAGAAAAACAACAAAATTTAAATTGGGTTCAGAATAGAAAAGGAAGAAAGGAGATGGTGAAACAATTTACCTGGTTGGTGTCCTTCCGCCTCTGTTTTTCTCTCTCTAAAATAGAATTACTTCCACCACTATGAAAGGTATGACGTGAAGAAAAACATAATGAAAATAAAAAATATTGGTGTTGATTGTGAGAAGAGAACGAAAAAAAAGAATAAAAAAACCTGACTTGAAAAGTAAAAGAAGAACAAAGTTTTTGTGTTTGAGTTGGACATGGTCTAGGAGTGGTTCCGAACATGATAAACCCTTCTAGAATCGTGACAAAACATGGCTCTTTGAAAATCATCTGACATGGCCAAAAATGACTCAAGTGTAAGAATTTAATTGGTTAAATTCATAAAAATATGGAATAAAAATAAAAAATGAAAAAATTTATTCACTTCCTTGTTTTAATATAGATAGATAGATAGATAGATAGATAGATAGATAGATAGAGATTATAAGGAATCAATGCTTTGCTGCCTTTAAAAAAAAAAGTATAACTCTACCTCCAAAGCAATTTTTCTTTTTTTCCGTCATACATTTAGATGTTAATCTAATATAAAATGAGCCAATGATCAGGAAACTTTTTAGGTAGCAATATATGCCAATGCTAAACACAATAAATGCTAAAAACACTTTTTAGGTAGCAATATATTGCCAACTTTTTAGGTAGCAATATGGCGACATGAAATGCCATTGTATCTTTTAACGTTGACCATGGCAATAAAAACAACCTTATCGTTGCTTCTACAGTTCTATTTGTTTCTTGTTGTTTTTTGTCCTAATGGAAATTTGATTTAATTGAAAAAGACAAAAATAACAAAAACAAAAGCACAACCCCATATAATAATAATTGGAACCAAACGCAACCCAATCAGCGATCGTCAAAAACAATGAAACACCCTTTTGATTTTCACTTTTCAAGGTTTGGATTCAATCTCTTTTTTTTTTCTTTTCTAATTAATGTACTCTTTTATAATTGAACTATGCTGTTGGAGTTCATCCACGTTTTGAGAAGACTAGAACTGTTCATCATTTTTGGTAAAGCATGAATTTCATGGCAAGCTATTCATTTCAAGTTCTAACTTTTAGCAAGAAACCAACCAAATGAATGTCAACTTGTTATTTGCTGCAATTTATAATATTAAAATGCCACATGATACTGTCATGTGTCACGAATTAATGTCACATGGCATATATTTTGTCATGTTACACAATTTTTTCCTTATGTATTTTGCCATGTATATGTTGCCACATGACATATTTTGCCATGTGTCACATTGCCATATAATTTGTCATGTGTCACCAATTTTGTACATGGCATATATTCTATTACTTGTTTTTTGTCAAGTTTCACAAATTTTATATAATTTTCCACGTGTCACAAATTCTGCCATATGACATTGTTTTCATATGTCAAAATTTGCCACATGACATATGTTTAGTCATGTGTCATATTTATGGGCATCAAATGTGGCACATATTTTGCCATGTATTCACCTTATTGATTTTTTTGGTTGAGAGTATCATTGTGTTTATATCACATGGTAGGGCTGCGTACATTTGCACCTTACTATGTTTTATGAAAGGATAAATCCCTTAAACTTCGCTTGGGTTTTCTTAAAAGGTCTTAAACCTCCCCTCAATTTTGACCTAACCTCAAACATCGCTTGACCTTTGGGGATAAAGGGACTTATACACTCTTTTTGTTACTTTACTGTTATAAATCTAAAATTTAAATATTTTATAATGCCAATTTTTTCCTTGTATAAAATCATCAAATATTTTATGATTGAAATACCCTTAAATGCTTAACCCAAAAAATACCCTTAAAAAAAAAAGAAAACTTTAACCTCTCTTTACCTAAAAACATTTTTTTATGCCACAAAAAATAAAATACTAAAACATATTAACTTGTGTTAATAGTTTAAGGGTAAAGTTGGAATTAGAAAAAATCTATTAACTTGATAAGAGGAATTAGTATGAAACATAATATACATTTAGGGTTGTCAACGGTCAAGTCTGATTCGAAACATGGTAGAACTGGTCCTGAACTGACAAGAAATACCATGGGCCCGGAACCAAACCAAACCCTATAAGGTTTGTAATCTTGGAACTAGAACTGAACTGATTGGGTATCGGGACAATTGGGTCCAACCCGATGGACCCAATTATAATAAACCTATGAGAAAAAGACAACAACTGAGTTCAACAATGGAGATCGACTTCAAACTCCCAATAGCCAAGTGCAACAATGGAGATCAATTTAAAATGAAAACTCTTAATGGCTTAATCCCAACAACTAAGTTCAACAATGGAGATTGATTTCAAATAAAACCCTTAATGGCTTAATCCCAATAGTCAAGTTCACTAGTAAAGAACTAAAGATCAACTATTAAAAAATAAGAAGAAATCAACTAGTAAAAACTGGAAAAAAAAATGAGAGAGAGATTAATGGAAGAGAAAGAAGATATCGGTGAGAGAGGAGACTGATGGCGATAGAAAAGAGACTGACAAGAGAGAATATACTAATGACGAGAGAGATGAGACCAACGAGAGAGGAGAGACATATTAACGGTAAGAGAAAATATTAGGTTGTCTCAACTGTAGCCCCTTTTCCTGTTTTCTAGCTGGCTTCGCTTTTGCCTTTCGAATGGAGAAGAAAACAAAAAAAAAATGGCTCATTTCGATAGGGTTTTGAATGAAACCCTAATGACCTTTTTGGACATATGTTGTTTAAATATGACATAATATATAATCTATTAACTATTATATATATTGTACATTTAATATTATATATATAATAAGGCTCGAGTGGTCCAAATCTGTTTAGGACATGGTGGACCTAGTTCTGAACCGATAATAATTGGGTCAATTTCTTAGGAACCGGAACCACCCCATCGGGATGAATTTTAGAATTAGAACTAGTCCAATTGATCTAAGTCCATCAAGTCAACCCTGACCCATTGACAACCTATACATTAGGGCGTTTGCTCTGTCTGACATTTGACGTCTTACGTTTGACGTCTGAAAGTGCAATAATTACATAAAGAGGTATATTGGTATTGGTGAACTTTCTTTCCTTTGAACTCTCAATGTATAGAGTGTTTTGAATTATGAAAAATGTCAAATATCCATTTTAACCCCGTATATGAGAAGTTTTGTTTGTGTTTTGAGGGTATCATTGGAAAACAACAAGTTGGAAGGTTCCTCTTTAAGTGATAAGAGATAAGTGGAAATGAACACCCATTTTCCTTTTCTCTCTCTCTCTCTCTCTCTCTCTCTCTCTCTCTCTCTCTATATATATATATATATATATAATTGGTCATGCCATGTCAGCATAGCTCTATTTTGAGAGAAGCTATTTATCTATTTTCTCTATTATTTGTATTTTTTTCTTATTTTCTTTTGTTCTAAAAATATAAAACAATAATCAGTGCTTATCTTGATTAGATTAAACAACCAATGAGATGCACTTTCCCACAACTTAAATAATCTCTTCTCCTAAAATTTATCCTAAACTACCTCCCCCAGTTTCTCCAAAATTATCTCTAATTCCTATTTATCTTCTAAATGATCTCTAATTCCTATTTATCTCCAAAATTATCTCTAATTTAGTAGAGAGTTTCTCTCATAAATGATCTCTAATTCCTATTTATCCTCTCCCCTACTTTTTATCTATATCTATCTAAAGAAATTTTGGATTACAAATTTTAATAATTATTTAAATATTCTAAGAAAATTATATAATAACTTTAAAATATTTATTGAAAACACAAAAGATAATTTTATATTTTTATAAAATATATCACAAAATTAAGTACTAACAATTTAAATTATGTTTTTCTGGATGATCAATTTAAATGTTTTTCAAATATTTAATAATATGTAATATCTTTAAATAAATAAAATTCAAATAACAAAAAATTTTCAATATTTTTTAGATTATTTAAATATTTATCATAACTAGATTTTAAATAGTTAAAATAACAGAATTATGTAATAAATTTAAAAAAGTTCTTCAAAGTAGAAAAATAATTATAACATAATATTGACATTAATAATAATTTAATATATTACAAAATTATATGGAATTATGTAATAATAGTATAGATTATGATTTTATGGATAATTAAATTCAATAAATAACTAATATTTTACATATTACTTAAGTATTTAAATAACTAAATATTTAACATAACTAGATTTTAAATAGACAAAATAAAGAAATTATGTAATAAATTTAAACAAATTATGAAAAGTAGAAAAATAATTATAACATAATATTGAAATTAATAATAATTTAATATTTTAACATAATAATGTAAATAACTAATTTGTATTCGAGAAAATAACTTTAAAAAAAATATTTATTAATAATAATTTTAAACTCTTAATTTGTATTTCTTATATAATTATATAAAAATTAATATTTATTGTATTTAAGTAATTATTTATTGTTTTTTGTGATAAATTTATTTTCAATGGTTATGTATAAATTTATTTTATTTTGTTATTTAACAAAAAACTTTCAATAATTATTGGATATTAAACTACTATTATTGAAAATTTTAAATTTAATTTATTGTATTTATTATATTTTTGTTATAACTTATTGATTAATATTTGTTAGAGATTAAACTATTATTTGAGATTATACTATATATTGACTAAGTTAATATATTTTTAGAACTTATTGTATCTTTTTATTATCAATATATTTTCAATAATTGTGTATTTTCACTATAAATTTTCAATAATTATTGGAGATTAAACTATTGTTATTTATCAGAGATGATACTAATAATTTATGTGGAATTATGAGTGTTCATGAGTTGGTTTATTTCGGTTGTAGGCTATTTGGCCAACCAAATTGACCTAATTAGGTTGGGGAGTTGGTCAGCTAAAACTGACATTTTGTGAAAACTGACACACTCAAGTTGTATTGGTTTGGGTCGATTTTTTGGTTTGACCAGTCGGTTCAAAGATTTAAACTTAAAAATTATAGTGCAATTATTAAAAAATAAATTTAAGAATTAGATTTATGATATAAAACAGTTTAGACTAAGAAATATGGGAAATGTCTCACTTTTCTATGTTAAAAATTATATTTAAAATATAAAATATTAATATATATCCATGGTTAGGTCATTTGATTTTGGTTGGTTTACAAATGGCCAAAGTGAAATTGATCCAACTTGGTCGAATTGGGAAATTTTTGAACCAAAGCCGACCTAAAATACTAGAGAACCGACCAACTTGGGTTGAGTTGATCAGGTTGGTCGGTTTCATTAGTTTGATGAATAAACCTAACTAAAATTAATTATTGTTTTTTTTGTATTATAAAAAATTTATTAAAAGTAGTATATAAAATATGTAATTATTAATTATTTAAAAAGTTGAAAATATAAAACAAATTTATACTCTTATGTGATTGATTCTATTAGTGTCATTTACTATAGCACATCTTATAGTTTTACATATTTACTTAACCCTACCTTATGGTTTTCATTTTATTAAAACATCTTATATATTTTACAACTTATTTACTTAATCAACCTTTCATCAAGGAGTGCTTGTTTTGCCATTAGGTCCATGATTTTTTATTTTAAAAATACCCTTAACACTTTTTTATACAGAAAATAAAATTAACCAAATATACCCAATGGAGTGGTTGTTCGTGTCTTATAAAGGGCAAAAATGGTATTTTTATATTTATTTATTTTTTATTAAATTTATTTAAATAAACATTACGGTCAACACTGCCATTTTCTACTATCATCTAATGGAAGATTGATTAAATCCATTGCAAATTATAAGTGGTGTTTTAGTAAAATTTTAACTATAGGGTAGATTTTAGTAAATCTATTAAACTATAAAGGGTATTTTAGTAAATAACACTTTTCATTAATTAACTTCTGCTGATGCATGGGTTCCCGCTAGTAAAGTTATAAAATTTCTCTAACCCTATGTTTGGTTTGAAGGAAAAAAGTAGGAAAAGGGAGGGAAATGTAGGGAAACCTATACAAAGTCTCTTTAAAATTAATGGAAAGGGGTTAATAAGTCCCTTTACCCCCAAATCAAGTAAGGTTTAAGACCTTTTTAGAAAACTCCCGGGAGGTTTAAGGGAATTACCCTTTATGAAAAGTATATTTAGCCAAAATGCATACAAAAAGCACAAAATAATCCAAAATAAATTTATACTTCACTTTGTAGATTTGCTTTTAATTTCAAGAAATCTACTTTCCAAAAAGCACATTTAATCAAACCTCGACACACCTACTTTCAAAAAGCTTATTCAAAGTAGAGCGGTTGGGGTTTGGGAGTTGTCTGTTGGGGAGTGGGGACTCAGATCAGATGAAGAGTTATGGTTGCAGGACCCATCGGTCCTCGAGATTGCCGATCATCCAATTATATCTTGACAACTGGATAGAAAAAAAACCAGAACCCGGCCACCCACCCACGCCGCTTCCCTTTTCTTCTCTGAATCGCCCCATCAACCCATCCGCCCAGACCGCTGAGCGCGAGCGTTAATACCAATATCAGCACACGGATCCTCTTTCATAGATCTCTGGCTTCAGGGAGAGACCGCTGGTTTCCCATCTATAAGTAGCCTCGAAATTCGAAAACCTGCCCTCAGCCCTGGATTTCCGTCAATCCGTTCTCTTCGTCAACAGGGTAGCTCGCTCAGGTCACCGATTCTTAAGTCACAGAAAGAACAACACAGCCCGTGCGGCCTTGGTGCCTGAAACGGTGATGGAAGAGTATCTCAAGTGCTATTAAGCCTTTTTTAATCCAATGCATTGGAGTTTCCTCCCCTTGAGTTGCTGTTACAGTCCATCTCCTTCGGACCCTCCGGAGATTCGAGAAAGTATCAACTGTGTATCTCTGCTTCTCATTCCCTTCTTCTGTTTCTCTCCCTTTGACATTTCTGTTATCCAGAGATCTTGAGCTATCTCTTCTTCTGCTTCCCCTTGTGCAACTGTTCTCCCTCCCTCCTCTCTGAGCTCTTGCTGTATCTGCGTGCTTGCTGTAAATGGCCAATGCATCTGGCTTCATTTCTTCTCCTATTCCAAGTCTTAGACGGAAAAGTCTGCCTTCTTTCGGCGTTTCTCGATCTGGGTTCTGCCCATTTGAGAGGATTATTATAAGGGTACTTAGCTGTAGCGCTGTTGAAGGCGTAGAGAAGCATGCTTCTGCGGTTTCCCCTTCTGAATCTCGAGTGCCAAGGTGCGTTTTTCTTCTGTTTATTTTTAGGTCCTCGTTGGTTAAGAATTTATAACCATGTTAGTTTACAATAGACGTTGTAGATATTTCTGCATCCCATAAAAAAGAAAGTAAAGTTATTGTCACCATATGGCTTTGAGTAGAGAAGTATTGACTAGAACTTATTGGTCACTTGTTTTAGTGCCACTGATGTCGTCATGCACTTTTATGGAGGAATTCTGATAGATGACTGCTTTTGTTAAAGGGGATTTCAGCTTTCTTTTGAACCTACAAATGTTATATTGCTTGCTGGTTTGCTTTACTTGGGAGTTTCCCTGAAAATTGTATTTGATTTTGATTACGGATCTAGATCTACAAAAGCTGCTCCTTTTGAGGCATGGAGTGGGGTTATCCTTTGTATTAGTTCAATTACAAGTTTACTTCTTTCATTTGTATTTATTTTGCTGAAGTTTAGTTCAATTTCAAGTTTACTTCATTTATGCTTATTTTGATGGAAGCGCTGTTCTGCATTTGAAGTGTACATGACTCTTTGATGGAAAGTCCTTGTGTAAGTACTTTATCTCTGAATAACTGTTTGGAGCTCAAATTTAGGACTCCTTTGGAAGGGGTTAAGCGTAAGTTGAACCGCTTAACAATTGTAAAAGGTGTAACAACTGAAAACAGTTAAGCAATGTTTGGTTAGCAATTAGATTCTTTTGTCGTTAAGAAGATGCCATGGCTTAAAAGGAATCTAATTGAAAGAAAAGAAGCCCCCCAAAAAGGACATTTTTTGTCATTATACAAAAAAATTTAAAAGGAAAAACATGGGGAGCTGGGCTTAAGCTACAAAAAGAAGCTTAAGGTGAGATCCAGGCCCCATTTGAGAGAGTTTAACCTTTGGTTGAGCTGTTTCAGTTGAGCTGCTTTGAAGAAACCACTAAAAGAAACTCCAATGGAGAGCCATGTAAGAGGTTGAAAGATAGTTTTGGCTCTCTGGATTTTCACCAAACCTTGCTTAATGCTTGTAAGCTCTCCAAGTGGGCACTACCATCCAAATTGGCTTTTTTTTTTGTCTGGTCAGCGGTGCTGGATAAGATTTTGACCAGGGATAATCTAGTCAAAAGAGGCTAGAGCTGGTGGACATGGGATTTCCCATGTGTACTGGTTTTGTGGAAACTTCTAGTCATCTGTTGCTTCATTGTGATTTTGTCTACTGTATTTGAGTAAGACTATTGCAGTTTTTTGGAGTGAAACTGTGTTTCCTGGATGGTGTGAAGGAATTCTTAGGAGCTTGGTACATAAGGGGACTAAGCAAAGCTGGAAAAGTAGTTTGGGACATCCTCAACAGTTTTCTTGGCAGTATGGTGTGACAGAAATAACAGAATTTTTTAAGGGTGTCAGAGAACAAATGAAGAGGTGTGAAAGAAATGGCAAACCACTCTCTATTCAGAAATAGACACACAACTTCTTTTTTTTATCAAGATTTTCTTTTTGTAAGAAATAAATAGTTGTTTTGTTATTTTTAAGTTGGGTGTATTGGGTCTGTTTCCTTCCTGGTATAGAATCTCATTGTACAGGGTTTTGTATTTGATTTCCTTTTGAATGAATTACCATACCTTATTCTTCCAAAAAAAAGTGGACACCACCTTGCAGAAAAAGCAGCAATGTGAAATCTCTTCAGTCAATGGGGTTGTAGGGTCTGCCTTTCTTTCTTTATCCCAATAACGTATTTGCAGTCTTCTCTAACTCCTAGTTATGTGGGACTGTTAACACCGGTGACCGGTGACAATCTTAGAAAGAATAAGAGAAGAATCAGAACTAGAAAGAATCGAGATGGAAAAGAGGTTCATAGTAGTTGGCTCAAAGACCTTTGAACTAGAAAGAAGAAGTGGCAATCAAGAAGACAAGATTGTAGTGATAGAAAGAGGAAGGGGAGCTTGGTCACGAATCCTTCTGCTGCAGGCGGATCTCCAATGGACCGAGACATTCATCCAAGAAATCGTGAAAAAGCAGTGAAGACACTTTGCGGACAACAAGAGAGTGACCAAAGGAAGAGTCCTTTCTTTACAACTCAAAGAAAATAGTTGGGGTAGATTTGTTTGTCTAAGTAGTTGGGAAAAATCAGAAAGGCCAAGAAGTATTTGTATTCCTGAAGAACCAACCAATGGAGGTTGGAGGACTTTTTTATAGTTGTTAAACTACTTTTGTACCAATAGACCGGTCCCTGGTACCAAAGACCTCTCGCTGAATCTCTTTCCCCCCTAGAACCCAAAAATAGGATCATCAGGGCAGGAGGTTCAGCTTTCATTGTCGTCCATCGCAACAAACCCTTCAGAAATTTGAAATTTGCATTTGTCTGCACTTAGCCTCATCCCTTAAGCTAGAAAGAAGTAGAACTAGGCTTGTCTGCAAATTTGCACTTTGACGCCCTGTTGGTGCTTTTCCCGTCTGAAGACAATAGAGCAGTGGGTTTTGCCCCTACAGAAGAGCTGGTTTGGGCTTGGGTGAAACAGGACTTAGTTCCGGTTTACAGCGATTGGGTAAAGTTAGAAAGGTGGTGACTGACGGTAAATGCAGCCCCAGACTCCCTGAGATTCAATGGTTGGGTAAGGATAAGAGGTCTCCCTTTCCACCTTTGGACGAAGGAGACTTTCTCGTTGATAGGAGATTTATGCGGTGGCTTGAAGGATTTAGATCTTGATTCGTTGAACCACACCAACTTGAGCTTTGCCATAATCAAAGTAAGAAACTGGGGAATCCATGCTATTCCCAAATCAGTACCCCACCTTGACAGAAATGTCCGGTTCTACCTCTCCTTGGAGACGGAGAAGGCAAACAAGTTCCCTCCCCCATAGACTGAGTCAACTCGCTCTAATGACAAACTACCGTGTGGCAATCTCTCCCTTATTGTTTAAATGCGTGATAGTTCAAGCAGGAGCCATAAGAAAGAAGTTAAGTCGGTGGTGGGACTCAGAGCATAAACTCAGGTGGGAAGTTTACCTTTAAAGGCTAGAGAGGAGCAGGTGTTTAAAAAGAAGGCTGATTCTGGAAAGGTTCGATATCCCTTTAGAAAGGTGTCCAATTTTTCAAAGAACCCCCCCCCCCCCAAGACCCAGGCTCCAAAGCCCGACCCGAACTCCAACAGGTTTAAAGTTTTGGGCTGTCCACTAGAGGCCCATAACCCTCCTTTGCACTTGGACCCTTCCCTCTCGAGCCCACCGGAGACTCCCTCTTTCTTTGGGCAACCAGTGCCTGAGACCCCCCAGCTTGGGTCGATAAAAAGGAAATGCTTTCAGAGCTCCAACCCCTTCAACCAGCTCTAATGGCTCTTCTGGCTATGAAGAAGATGATTCAGGGGACGATAACAGCCCCTATGCAATAGAAAGCGAAGCAGATCCTCAAGAGAAAGCGCTTGAAAGGGCACAAAAACTTTTTGCAGGGAAGGAAATCTGGGGAAGTGTGGAGATTCTAGAACAAACCCAACCGATCAATCTAGAGTACGGGAAATTTTCAGACTCGGACAGCCTCATTTGTAGACAAGGAAGAGAATCACCAGCTTGCTCTCCCAACTCTTGCCACACCAGCCTTCCGTCTCCCAGGACCTCTTCCGCCCCATTTGCTTCAGGTTCTCTTACCCCCAAGTTTCTGAACATTCTAAAACCTCTCATCATTTTTCGTCTCTCTTGTCTTTCAGGTTCGAATGGAGAGCTGTCCCACCTAGAGAAAGTGGAAGATCATCAGATAACTATGCCAAATAGCTTTGGAAGAAAGGTTTCATAGGATCTAGAAAGAGCAAAAATAAACGATAAAAAATAATTAGTTCACTAGGGATTGAAAGAAGAGGGCAAACTGGAGAAAAACAGGGGCTAGGAGAGAAAGATCACGCCAAAAACAAGGGAACACAGGAAAAGAGAGAAAAAAGGGACCTAAAAGGGAACTCAAAAGGCTACAATGGGATTTAATGGATCGGAACTCAGGGGACAATAGAGTGAATAAGGGAATTTCCATAATGGAAATTGATAGAGGAGATTTCTCAGTCTCAGTCTTATTCACCAATACAAAAGACGGGTTCAATTGGATTCTAACAGGGTGTATGGTCCCAAATCCCCAGAGAGAGAGAGAGAGAGAGAGAGAGAGAGAGAGAGAGAGATTCTGGGAGGAATTAGACTCTTTGCATGAGGATGAAGGAATTCCTTGGTGTGTAGCAGGAGACTCTAATGTAATAAGGTTCAGCCAAGAACACTCCAATGGTATAGCTCCAACAAGAAGCTTGAGAAAATTTTCCAGCTTCATTTCCAGATATAACCTTTGTGACATTCCTCTCAAGAATGGTCAATATCCCTGGTTAAATATGCAGGAAATCACAGTTAGCTGCAGACTTAATAGGTTTCTTTTATCCCAGGACTGGGTGGAAAGATTTCCCAACCTAACCCAAGACATTTGTCATCGTTGTAATTCAGACCATTGGCCCATTAAGCTGAACACTGACCTAATTACAAGAGGAAAGCCCCCTTTTAGACTAGAAAAATGGTGGACCTCTCACAAGGATTTTAAGAAGCTGGTAGCTGGTTGGTGGGAGGAGTGTGAAGTAGAGGGATGGGCTGGATTCAGGCTTTTACAAAAATTAAAATTCCTGAATAGGAAGTTGAAATCTTGGGGAAAAGAACAATATAGAGCCTTTGAAGATGAGAAAAGGAGGATGCTCACAGAATTGGATGAATTAGATGTAAAAGAGCAAAATGGCACTTTAGATGAATTTGGCAGAAGAAATCTTGGGAAAAGGTAGTCAGAAAGGAGGAAATTTATTGGAGGCAGAGGTCAAGAGTGAGATGGCTGAAAGAAGGAGACAACAATTCCAGATTTTTCCATGGTTATTCTTCAGGAAGACATAGGAAAAACTTCATATCCAAAATAACAGTGAACCAAAGAGAAGTGGAAAGTTCTGAAGAAATCACAGAAGCCTTCCTCTCCTACTTTAAGTGCCTATACTCTAAGGAAAGCCAGTGCAGATTCAGATTGAGCAG